ACAGTTTGAGTTTATGATACATCGATTATGTGCTGAAGGCGCTGTGTGATGAAATGCAATCACTATAACTTTTCTAACGAGAGATGATGGAGGTGAAGAGCTTCAGGATCAGATCCCTGTGGTGTGAATTAAACCAATGTTTTCTTTTGTCAGTTTTGATGCTGATAGTTATGATAAAGAATATTTTCTTAAATCACACCAACGTATCTAAGTTCTCAAGTTACACATAGTTAATGCAGTTGGGTTATATGGTATTTCCTGTGATTCCTGTATTTTGTTATTGCACTTATTTCTATCATATTTAGAGACCTGTTGGTGCTTTAATGATAGAGATGCTTTGTTTTTCTTGTGGCCTGAAATATTTTTGTAGCAATTGTTGTTGCTTCTTTGAAAGAGGCGTTTTTATTTTGTTCTTGTGGCTTGCATTATTTTTGCAGGACTTGTTGCCCCTTTTTTTAAAGAAGTGTGTTATTTGTTTATTGCGGTTTTTATTATTTTTTGTTCCGTTTATGATCTAGGATAAACAGGAAAGTTGGAGACATGGCTTCCTTTGGTTATGATTCATATCCTATCATCCAGATAAATGTCTCTTAGAAAGAGCTAAGGGTTACATCCTTGTTTTATGTGTGTGTTTTATTTTAATATCTGGCATGTCCCTGAGAAATTTCTCATAGTTTGTGTGTTATCTATTTATTATTTGATTCAACAGATTAATTATAACATTCATGTTGAGATTTCACATCCAGAAAAACATTCATATGACTGGAAAAGAATGTTGTAGCCTATTAAGATTTTCTCACTTAAAATTTCTAAATTATTATTTGCATTATTATCGTCAAAATTTACACCATAATTTACAAGAATTTTTATTCTCAGTGTATGAATGGTTTGTGGAAGGTGTCTTTGTCACTTATTGTTTTGTAATGGTTGTCTTTGTGTGTAGAATAATAATTTTAAAAAATGATCACGTTCATGTGCCCACCCCTTTTTACACACAAATCAGACAACCAAAACAGGTGGGTCAGTACATATGCCTGTATCTTGTCCTGGTCAGTCTTTTCAATCCAATTTCACTGACAGATATTCAAATAAGACATTCATTACCTCCTGTCCACTTTGCCCTCTCTGTGGGGGATCTAGGTGTGGCCAGAGTGGACATCACTGTGTGTCCAGAGCTCTGTTGAGTCATCGTTCTCATGACAGCAGGGTTGTTCTCGTTTACACCGTTTCCCTAGGGTAGGCTACAGAGGTGGATCCTGAGATATTTTCTGACAGTCTTCCCAAATTGCCATTGTTGATCCATCTTCCATTTTTGACCACTTCTGACAGAAAAAACATTACATGCCCATGAATCATGAATGTAAACTTGAAAAATTTTGACCATCTTCCAGAAGATGCCAGTTTCACAAAAGAATATAAAATAATAATAATAATAATTCTGATTCTTTATTAAGCACTAAAATGGCATGATGACTGGGAAAAAGATTTAAAAATAAATACATCTTAGGATATAAACATAAGAGTTAGTATAAACTAGAAGTCCAAAAAAGTTGAGTGGTCAGCAATTGGGTCACAATTGAAACATTCTGATTTGAATGCATCAACACCTATGTGCCTTGAAAACGATAATTGTAAATTCTTTGCATTCTGAGTGAGCACTTTTGACCAGATCTGTTGCAGTCCAGGCATATTTCAGTGTGAATTTGGCCAACAATTTCTCACATAATCAGATTGACTCATCATTTCCATGTGTGGTGGGAAAGCCATGGTCAGTACATGAACACAGAGTGGACAGTGGTCACTCAAATATGAGTGGACAAGGGAGTTTATCCTGGGGGCCTGAGGTGATCAATTAACTTAGACCTCGTTCCTATACCTAGATCAATCTAGCAGGATCGACCTATCTCCGAGGGTTTTCTTGCTAAATTGCATTCAGCAAGCATGTACTCCACTGTATTTCATGCCTACCTAAGCTGTTAGGGGGTAAGTTACTATCGTTTAGCAGCTTCAGTAGGTGTGACAGATATCAGAGCTGCTTAATCTGAATGCAATATAGGGAGCATCCCCTCGGAGATGGATCGATCCTGCTAGACCGATCTAGGTATGGGAATGGGGTCTTACTATTCCACATGGCACAATGGAGTCTCTTTCTCTTTACATCTGGCCATCAACATAAACCGTATCATCAATCCCACCTTAATTTTCCATTAATGTCAAACTCGGAAGCTGTCACACAGATGAGGGGTCACTTGAGATGACCTTGGCTGGTCATCATAATGGGACAGGATAACTGTCAAATTATAACAGGGATGAAGTTCTTGCTGGGATTTGGCCAAGATGGGATTCATTCTAAGACTGACTTCCAGATTTGGTGTGAGAGTGAGAAAGAGAAGCATTTTAATGTAAAAAGTCAAAATGTCCAAAAAAAAAAAAAAAAAATGTCAAAAGAGAAAAATGTAACAAATATGTATAGTGTGTCAATTAGAGAATTAATAGTGTAACTTGATCATGTTAAAGAGGGTATAAGAAATAAATTTAGGTGAAAATTATTTACAAAATGGTCTTGCAAAGTTTAATGTAAAGTGGTGCAAACGTCTCAGAAAAAAAAAGTTCCTATCTCCTAATCTAAATTTCTAAAATCGTGCACAAAGTGACATTTTATTATAGGGTTGACATCACAATTGTGAAACTATAAAAAAGCATTTCATAGGTTATCTCACTGAAATCTTAATTTTAAAAAATTTCTTTCATCTTGAAGAGATTCATTCGATGATAAGAGAGAAAAAGCATTAAAACATAAAAAAGTGACAAAAACCTTTTTACCCAGGTTATCTCTTTAAACACATTTATGAAAAGACTCAAGTTTGGGTCCAATAACAAGGTATATAAACTCCGTATGATTCAGAGTGTAAAGAAAAAAATGAAAGAAAGCAATCTTGACATGGGTTATCTCTAAAAACACCCAAATGCTGTTCGGGGTTGTAAAGGCTATAATTTATGTCACGGGGTTATCAGTATTACAGTATATGGCATGCATTCAGGTGTCTTGACGAGAAACAGGACTGCTAAAACATAGCTTTTATACTCGAAATGTGTGTGTGTTTGTGTGTGTGTGTGTGTATGAGTGTGAAAGAGAGAGAGAGAGAGAGAGAGAGAGAGAGAGAGAGAGAGACAGAAGAAAGAGAGAGAGGGAAAGAGAATAATGGAAGGAGGAAGAGAAGCAGGAATGAGAGAGAGATATGAATGTGCATGTAGGATCTCTCTCTCTCTCTCTCTCTCTCTCTCTCTCTCTCAACACTTACAGACATTCTGCATATATACATACATACAGGTACTGTATGATGGCAGGTTGTTTGTATTACTGAAAAGAAGGAAAACTTAGTAACCTGCTCAAAGCCAACATAAAACATTGATATCCTGATGAAAGCTTGCGTTATGTCTGTAAAGCAGACCTGTGTAAGTTGCTCAACATTCATGTTCCTATTTATACTTTTACCTGGATTTTTATGTCAAAGTTAGTATATCTAACAACTTTTTTAGTACGTCCATCATTAGCTGTGTAGAGGTAACTCGTTCTGACTACATAACTAAGTGCTCTTTAAATCTCAGCGTGAATCACTCGCGGGCCTTATTTTTACATTGCGTTACATCAGGCCAAGGAAGTCCTAATGAAATTTGATTTCACCTTTTTTGTGTTAAGTTCGGTGACTGCCGTTTCATCACTAACTCAGGGTGGCAGCAAGCTCTATAACAGAACAAAGACTGCTGTTTGCCAATTAACAGAAAACTTAAATTACATTGCATCAGCCAAGTGCTGAAAACCTTGATGCTGTATTACTATTTTTAAATTCTGTTTTATTTTATTTAAAAATAAAGGTGACATAGGACAGTGCAGTGAAAAGGCAATATTTGGTATTTTGCTGGGAAATGAATTGTGGATTTTCTTCCTTTATCCCTGTCATTTATTTTCCTACAGTTATCTCTCCATTTTTTGTGCCGTTTATCCACTAGCTCTTGTACATGTAAGGCCAGTCTGAAAAGTTAAAGATATTGTTATATATTACATTGGCATATCGTCATGTGATAACGGTTTAAAATTTGATAAGTGCTGAACAAGTTCATTTATTACCTTTGAAATTGTAATAGGTTATATTTCTATCTAAATGCAGAAAAAAAAAGTTATAAAGGGTATTAAACAAACTACTAGAAGGTATGACATTATTTAGATATATAGGTATTTATAACATTAATGCATGATATTAATAAGAAGGACTACAAGCATGTCTGTAAAAGCTTAAAAGCCAGACAATATAAAGTGGCTAATGTTGAAAAAACTTCTCAAACAATAGAATTCAGGAGCTGGCAGTTTTAGCACCACTTTCTCATGACTCTCAGTTAAAGAGATCTACGTGAGTGTTGACACAGGTTACTTACATTGTTTTACCCTCCTCAATGGGAGAAAGGGTTAATTGAAAATGATCAATTTCAGCGCGTGATATCGTTGTAAGTTGTGTAAGAATGAGATAAGACCTTGTGAATGTCAAGTGCCAAGATAGGATTACAACACTTTTCTTTAATTCCTTGATAAAGCAGAAATCCTGTGTATTTTGATCTTGGTGCTGTGAGATAAAATATTTTGAAAATTCAGCAGAGATTGTGTAACCAGTATGTGGATCTTGGACTTGATGGCTTCTTATTTATTTTTGGATATATGAAATAAGTAATTCTTCACTGAAAGGAAAATATTTATTTTTCTTAATATTTCCTCTTTTTTTGCAATGTGTAATATCAGTGATTACTGTAAAGAAGAAATTGTATCATGGAAAACCTTTAGTTTGAACAAATGATGTCTATTACATCTTATTTATGAAATTATGTAAATGAATATGGTATTAAATATATAAAATAATATCATTTACTATACCAGTTACATAAAAGGATTGAGCATTATTGAATTTTTACTGCCATTTTATTCTTAAGACATTATTTTACCTTTCCAGATATTAACGAATGTGCGATAAACAATGGTGGATGTGAAAAGGAATGCTGTAATGCCATTGGCTCATTTTACTGTAAATGTCCGCAGGGATTTAAACTGGCACAAGACGGGAAAAGATGTATAGGTGAGTATCAGGTGTCAGTAGTCAGGTGTCACCTGAGAGGTACATGTAGCCATGAGGTATGTAAGTAGGTCTGTTGTTGTGTCTGATGTGTTGTAGAACCCTGTGTTACATGTGATGTCACATTTTTTGTGATGTCATATCTGTTTGTCTGTGATGTCACACCAGGGACAAAAGAAAAACTACCTTGATTTGCATTAGCTTTTTTTTTTCTTTTTTTTTTTTTTTTTTCAATATGTCAGTGTGACATTTGGTTTCCAATTTTGAAGGAAACTAATATCTAAATTGTGTGCCTTTTTAGGCTATGGTTCCAAAAATGGTATCGCATCACCTGCATATTTGTGACATCATTTGTGTTGTGTGACATCATTTGTCTTGTGTGACCTTCATCCCATTTTGAACCATTTTATGTTATTTGAATTCAAACTTTACAGGTATTTTTTTTCTTTAAAAATATAAGAACCTTGTTTTCTGTTTACATTCTGTTTTCCATTTCCTTTTGTAACATGTACCTTAATTTTATTGGTCTAAACCATGCATTAAAGTATATATAATTTATTTGCCCTGGTATCGGGGATTGTTTTGCTTATCCTTGCTTATTCTTTTACTTTCTTACCGCTGCTGCTACATTAAGACATTGATGAGTGTATGTCGTACAATGGTGGATGCCAAAACACGTGTCGTAACACACACGGTGCATACGTATGCGAGTGTCCAGCTGGATACAGGCTTCACACAGACAGGAGGACGTGTGTTGGTAAGTGTATACAACAGTCATTGTGATGTAATCAAAGGTAAGAACTAATCCAGGAATGTGACAAGTGCCCTTGTTTTTATTTCCAACATATTTTGACTTCCACAAAATTTGCTTGTACAATTCAGCAGTTTTTGTCTTTATATACATAATATGAGGTAATATATATGAAAACACAGTGGGATGGGACAGAAAATTTTTTAAATTAATAATAAGAATTTTTTTAAAGCTTTTGACTAGTAGCTACAGTTTATTTTATCAATCAAATCACCATCCATCGAGGAAATGAGAGGGTCTGATCCCACACCACTGCCATTCCGATTTCCTTCATAATTGAAAATTACTTCAGAATGTGTTCCAAACCATTGATTCTGTCAGTTAGTCAGCGCTATTTCTTTCCATTTTGGTTGTGAGCCAAGATGCAGGTCGTTCAGCATCCACCACAAGAGGTTCTTTGAGATCTTAACCAATTGTTTTAAAGATTATCCTCAATTTTGGTTTACTAGAATTTCATCACATTTCTTGAGTTGCCACTTTGCTGGGAGTCTGTGTGTATTTAACTGAAAAAACTCTGGGGACCCTCGCCCTAACAATTAAGTCGATGAATCTTAGATCCTGTTCAGTGTTGAGCAGTTATAAAATAGAGATTTCCAAAGCTGTGTTCCCAGTCAGATTTGGTTGATTTTAGTTTAGTAGGTTGTCTTTTTATGGTAATGATGATATTGATAGATTTATTCTTACGTGGTGCATACCAAATTGTTTCACCAGTACCACCAGTTACATAAGTTTGACTTAATATATTTTTTGGAGATATAAAAATACTGCTTCAAAGAAGATAAGCACAATAAAAAATTTTCAATTCAAGACAATATTTATAAAGTATTGACTATAGAAATTGGATTAAAACACTTGTATCTTTTTAAATGCCATTCTTCAAAATATATATTTAAAATATCCAGAAAATTGGATAAGCTTACCAAATTGGCAACAAGTTTTATCCCCTGCCCACTACCCCAATAATGGCTGTGTACTGTTGCATGAAATTCTTTTGACATGCTAATCATAATCAAACAAGATAGGTCACACTGAGTTAGTTGGGCCTAATAGAGTCTTTTCCACGGTCACGTGACTTCCGCTAAATTATCCGTGGGAACGCGAGATTTTGCGGGATTTGAAGTTTCAGGGGGAAAGTGTGGAGTGTACACGACGGACGCCATATCGAGGAGTGCTCATTTCAATCTGAATTTTCAAAGTTTCGTAACATGTTAACACCTGATTTTTTTCGAAAACACATTCATGGGAGCAGTTGGAATAGAAATTTAGCAGAAGTACCTGATGACTTTTCAATGAAAGAACTAAAAACGTACCTCATCGACAGCAAAGATAGGACATTCGGTACTTTTGTAGTATACCCCCCCAACCCTGTAACTTCCTGAAACCTTCATTTTTCAAACATTTTTTNCACAGGTAATTACAAAAGCATTTTATTTCAACAGCTTTGACATAGATAAACAATAAAATGTAAACAACTGTTTGAAAAGTGAAAGTTACAGAAAGTTACAGGGTGGGGGGGGGGGTATACTACAAAAGTACCGAAGGCCCCTTCTACTCTTTCCCCCTGAGAAACAGTCCCGCACAAAATGGCGCGAACTGCGCATGCTCACGATTTCGTGGAAAAGACTCTATTAAACTGAAAACATGCCTGAACTGACATCAGGGTAAGACTAGAACATGAGGACCCCATCTCGTCTCAGTTTTATACCCTATGGTAAGCATTCGTAACCATCTGATGATGGAGGCAGTAAAATTTCCATCTCAGCTAAACAAGTGTTTTGACTGTCAGTCTCCTGTTGTTTACCTATTTTTATTTCCATTGGTTTTACTTCATTTAAGGGTGTAATTGAAAGTTAGGCAGCATAAACTGTGCCATAAATCTGGTAAAACAATGGGTGAGGCTTGTAGCCAGCAATTTCATAGAAGAGATTTTTTTTGAAAAAGTGGTCCTTTTTATGCTCATAGTTTATCCAACTTGAGAAATAGCATTGAACCTAGATGGAATACTAGTTCAAAATAAAGTTTTGCAGTTAAAATGGGAGATTTTCAACCCCTGCCCACCCCCACCCGCACTGATTCTTATGAACATATATAAAAGCATTCAGAACAGCTGATCCACGAACTAACTGATTTGCTGACTGAATATGGCTGATCCCACTAAAAGCAAGCTGCTCTAATCCCCCATTGGTCTCCCCACCTCCATACATGCCACTAAATGGATTAAATCTCAGCTCCAAGTTTTAACTGCTAGGCCCCTGCAGCGGTGGCACAAGTTGAGGAGTAGATACCATTAGGCGAATAGTGGCATAGCTTTTAAGTGGTTCAGCCATATTTAGTCCACGGTTCTGTTAGTCCATGGATCAACTTGTTCTGAATGTGCTCTATGGTGTACCAGTACTGCATTGGTAAACAGTGGTTCTTGTTCATGTATGGGAAGCAAGTGTTATGTCATTACTGGCAACAGATTTAAAAGAGCTCTCAGGAATTGAACAGATGGGAGAGCATTAAATCTTGTTAGGTTAATCTGAACAGTCAATTGATAACTTACCAAACACTCCAACTTCTCATCCATCATCCATTATGTAACCAATATAATGTGACAAAAACAGAAGTGAGGCGGCCTTTTTGTTTGTAATGTGGGAAAAATCTGTTGTTGCAGAAATTCTAGTAGACTTTTCCACACAGTAATGGTGTATTCAGTGGTAGGGTCTATTAACCATAAAAACAAATTAAATTGCTAATTTATTACGTGGATATTCCTTACTTGTTAAATTTTTACAGCTTAGTTTGTGTATATTTTTTGGTAAAAAGTAAAAGAAAAGCTAGCATTGGAAATTTTATGCATTGTCAGTCTAAGAAAGGTCATTTTTGTGATGGACATTCATCTTTGCTGAAGTGCCCCACTTTCTCTGATATATATAGGTGAACTCGATCTCTTGGTATTTGTGCATCCTTTTTCGGATTTGTTTGTAAATATTAAAGGGATAATAACTCTTCGTATGAGATCTATATTTCGCAATAAAAACATTGTGAATAACTCATAGAAATATAAAATATTCTGTTTTACCACAAAAACGGCAGTTATAGCTATTATTCTGATATCTGAGCTTGTCTTCAGACCACGTGACCTCCACTGATGGCTATACTCTGTTATAATCACTTAAGAGATTTTAACAAAAAACCAACCTTTTTAGAAAAAAACCAGGGACTAACTTTGAATGTAAAATGGATTCATTAACCATAGGTAAGTATGGGAAAATTGTTGTTTACTCCAGGAAAATTCATTTTTTGGCAGAAACGAAGAGTTAAGAGTTATTATCCCTTTAAGAAAAACAGAGATTCCATAAACATTTTTGGCCTTGATACATGATGCAAAACTTTCTCCAAAACAAATTGGGTCTTGTGTGGTTAAAATCTAAACAAAAGAGTTCAAGGCTTTTGTTTCAGTTTGGCAAAGAATATGCTATTTTGTCAAGTTAAATTATTTTAGATCAAAAGCATGCACAAGTAAAAACCTAAGTATAGCTGTAAACTCTACAGTCAGATTGTATTAGAATTGTGATGTATTTGCACTAAGTCGGTTAATGAAAGAATTGCCCCATTTAGACACCCAATTAGACTCTACATGGTTGCGATCCAAAATGACCCGCCCAAGGAGTTAAAACTTTCATGCAGTAACTTTTTTCTAGCTTTTTTCCCCAATCAGACTAGCCATTATACAAGCACTAGGTTGATTGTCTGAGGACATGCTATGGACTCAAAAGATATAATTGTAATCATCATTTCTCGTGCTGTGTGAACACATTTTTACAAAACAAGAAATTTTCTTTAATTTGTTTTTGCCAAGTTTTTACATTTGCACACATTTTATGAATCAATTTCTGTTAGTTTACTTTGTTCTAGGGTGTAATTCAATTGTTCTATAAAATGAAGTGCAAACCAAGCACAAGTAAGTCTGCATATTATGAGAGCTAAGACAATGGCAGCTTTTAATAGTAAAAAGTGATAGTTTCCCATCATTGTTGTAATTTGGCACTAAGAAGACTTTAATTTTGATGTGGTTGTCCTTGGCCAAATGCAAACCAATGCAAAAGCACTAAAAACTGAAGCACCTCACTTTTAAATGTGTAAATGCTTCTCATTTGTTGCAAATGTCGTATTTGGTAGCGTACACTTTTGAACCTTGGTTCTAGAATTTTCTTTTGTTCTTTGGAATTCCAGAGAAAAAGTCATGCCCCACACAGTGTGTTGATGCCCTGCTTCACTGCTCTGCTGGAGATTAGTTTGGTGGGAGGGCAACTGAGTTCTTTTCTGTTTTGTTTTGTTGAGTTCTCCTTGTAACAATTGTTTTGATGATACTGGTATGTTGCAGTTTACAATTGAATTGTGGACAAGTAATTTGGAAGAAAATTTATGTAATATTCAAGCTCTTGTGTAGGTTTTAAAAGTATTAATTTACTAAATATTTATCTAAACATTTCTTCTCCCTATTTGTTCTCTCACTTTCTTTCCTCCAGTACCACCTCGCTCTCTCTCCTTAGCAAAATTAAAAGTTTGCAGAAATATTGTAGCAAAATTACTACAAATTTGCTGCAAACTAATTTAAATTTTGTTGCAACTACTTTGCAGAAGTTCGCAAGAAAGATTTGTATTCCCGATAATTTTCAGCAAATTTGCAATAACAATTTAAGTTTGCAGCAGATTTTAAAGAATGTCTTTCTTCTTGCAAATATGCAACAAATTAGCAGCAAATTTACAAGAATATATTAGCTTTGCAGTAAGTTTTCCAAAATTTGAAGCAAATTTGCAAGAATTTCTTAAATGTTTGCAGCAAATATGTAGCAAGTTTTGTAGTGAATTTGCAAAAAAGTTTGTGGCAGGCCTGATATCTTGCTAAGGGTTTCTCTCTCTCTCTCTTTCTCTCTCTCATTTGTTCATGTCAGGTAAAATACATTACGGGGTAACCCGATATTTCACCTGTACATCAATTTACCTACATTAAGAACCTTACTTCTACATCTCAATGAACCTCTTAATCCACACAGTGGATCATATTAAGGTAGATTCGTACAACCAAAATCTTTACAAGGGGTCGAACAAAATGCCCAACAAAAGGCACTCCATTAAAGCAAGCAGTCAGTGTGCACTTCCCGGCCTCATGGGAAAAATAAACCAAGGGCGAGATTTTTTAAAAACGGTTCTAGCCATGGGTGATACATATCTTACGAGGTGGTCTCAAAAGTTATAATGTAACTTAATAGCGCGGTCTTTATATCCAGTTGCAATTATAATGGAAAGCATTGAAAGATGGCAGGATTCGGTGGCATGGTAAACTATTTTATCACCATTAAAAAACTGATTGGATGCACTTAGGTGGTGATCCAGATTTTGGTGTGGTTCGGGTCAGATTCTACATGTACCCTGATGGTGCTGGTCCTTCGAATTCTGAATAGATATAAAATGAAATATTTTACGAATATGGGTTAAAATGAGTTATATGAGAGATTTTAAAGCTCATTTGTCAAAAATAATAGAATTATATGAATAAGAAGTGTTTAGGATCAAGTCATATTATACAGAATATTTTATGAATATGGGTTAAAATGAGTTATGTGAAAGATTTGAAAGTTCATTTGTCCAAAATGTTAGATATAAATCCATGAATTAGAAATGTTTTGGATCAAGTCAAATTGTCATTATGTATTTGGGCAATAAAAAATTAAGAGCAGTCTGAAAGATGTCTACAATTTATGATATATCGTGGGAAGTGACTGTTTACATACTTGTTATCAGGAACAGGTAACTTTTGATGTCTCTGCAAGATGTAACGAAAAGCAGCTTGTTTACTTGCTAGTTATCAGGACGGGGCAACTTTTGGTGTTCTGCAAGATGTAATGAAAGTAGCATTCTGTTTGTATGCTTGTTATCTAGAGCATTTAACTTAAATGTTGTCTCTGCAAGATGTAATGGAAGAGCAGTTCTCTGTTTCATTACTGGTTACCAAGAGCACAGAGTAACAGCATTGGATAAAGTGGAAGACTCTGTGGTACTCGGGGTGTGTTTACCCTGCAGTAGTATCTGATCATTTCTACAGCTGCCTGAGCTGAGTGAAAAACATGGGAGAAACATGGCCCTCGTGAACGGAATGGAGTCACCTTTCCAACCCCCAGAGAAAGGAGAAGCCACCAGGACGCCCGCGGAGAAACCTGATAAGAGATTACTAGGGGATACAGAATGGCAGGGATACAGTTGGTTGGATTTCGGGGTTGGATTTTAATTAAAGCCCATGTTGAGAGTTAGTAAAGGAGAGAGAGGGAAGAAAATGAAAAGAAAATATATCCATAAGAAAAAATCATGGCCTTGTGATGTTTTTAGAGACTGTGATTGAAAAAAAGGAAAAAGGCTTGATTACCATCATTTTGATTTCATGGTTTGAAAATTTTATTACATAATTAAATCTTTTAATTGATGGAAGTGAAGATTAGATTAGGAGTTATCAAATTAGATTAAAGAAAGAATAAATCAAACAATTTTCTTTCCAAAATTAGCAGAAAAAAATCATGCTGAAATGGAGTATTAAAGTTTAAAAAGGCAGAAAATGAAAATAAAAACACACCTTTCTTTGATGTCTGTAAAAAAAGCAGAACGTCACTCTGTAATGCAAGTAGGAATGGACTTAGCAACACTGACACAATGTCAACAAACAATTAAGTTAAAAAGAAACAAATTAAACAGAATGTGAGATATAAAGAACCAGTGTAAACAAGAAATTACCCCTAAAAGAAACAAAGTAATTTGGCAGACTAAAGGGTCATTCAAGTGGATAAGTTTTGGCTTTGTTGCACAACAAAGTTGCTCCATTGGCTCCATGTTGATCTGTGTTGATTTCATTAGGTCACGTTGAGTCTACATCATATGGTTAAGCAATCAATTATTTTGACTGATTCATATCAGACTACTGGAATGATGAGTGGATTACAATTGGAAGGTTGATTACATTACTGTAAACCAGTGCTTATTGCTCCAAACTTTGGTTTCCATGGTTATTAATAATATTTTTTTAGCACTGGAGCGCAATGATCTTGGGGATTCTCTTCCAGATTTTTGGAAATCCAAATCACACCCTCATTTGTGGTCATTTAGGAGATTCCCTAATCTGGGATTAAGAAACTTAGAATTATAACAGTTACATTCCTGATGACATTATATTTCCAGAACAAGAGAGATGTCAAAAATAGCAACATTTTTAGATAAAACTTTCTTTTACATAGCAAATGTGGTATCGGACATGGCCCAATAGAGGTTTTTATACTACTATAAACATTTGTTCCCAATGACTGCTCTGTATGTCAACTGGGTGTCGGTTGTCTCCAACTCTGTCGGGTGGACCCTTAAGTGGGGTGGTTCTCATTCATCACAGCTGATTATCATTTCAAAACAACTAATTACTACTTAAAAGCCTACTCCAGTAGAAAAAAGGTTGGAACTTAAGGAGCCAAGTGCCTGTTAGACACAACAAATGGGCTATCCTAAGTGGGTTTGGTTTTTGGTTTTGAAAATGTGGAATTTTTAAGAGTTGAAATAGGTGTGCTTTTAGTTTGGACTTACTATGAAAGGTTCCTTTTCATGATATATTGTATAGTTTATCAACATAATTGTAATCTTTATCACTACAAGTAATATTTATGTTTAGCATATTGCTGTTTTTGCAGTGATCTGTATTGCTTTAACTTAAAAGCAGATTCCCTTGATGGTACTATTATGAACCCATAGAAAAATGCTTAATTTTAATTATACTTGTGCATATAGGACATTATAAAATTAAAATTTGTGTAATATTAACATTTTCTATTTTATTTCATTATAGGACAGCCAGTTAAAATTTGAGTTTTTTATTTTAGGTTAATGATTTGAGTTAACAGTTAGTTACATTTTAAGCTTTTTATTCCAGTGAGTGGCGGCTGTTCTGTAAACAATGGCGGATGTCAGCACATGTGCCAGGAAGGCTATGGCGGCCATTTTAGATGTGCGTGTCACCCTGGATACAGACTAGGGTCTGATGGGAAGAGTTGCGAAGGTAAGACATGATATGAGGATAAAATATCAATTAAAAAATAATTTTTGTTATCATTTCTTTGAACTATGGCATTGGATGGTTAGAAGTGGTCACAGCTGTTAATAGCATGTTTATTTTTGTTTATATTTTTATTTTATTAGAACTTCATTGTTTCTAACAGAAATTTTCAATTTTGCTCATATTTGATCCATTTATTTAAATTTTTTGATAAATGTTTGACAAAAAATATAATAAAATTGCTATTTCTTTTAAATATATTTTAAAAGTGAGGTTTAACTTCATGAAATTTAATTCTTAATAATGAATTATTATTTATTCTGCCATGAAAATGATCTTAATTTTAAAGAATTTATAGAAAAAAGATTAGGATTAAAGAATATAGAATAAAAAAAGGTAATCCCGGTGTTTTGCTCTAAGCAGTTGAAATTTTGCTCTTTGTGGGTTGTTGCTCCGTGACCCGTAAAGGAGAAGTCCCAATTCCTGCCATTTTTACTCAGAGCTGAAAAGTAACAGGACTGAAATATGATGAAATACTTATTACTTAAAAGAGACCGTCCATCCACTGCTCTTGAGATGTGTCTTGTCTTTTGATCATGGTGTGCCATTTTTGTAAGATTATCAAAGGCTCTGTTCTCACAACTTTTAGATCGATCTATCACCGCAGGGAGTCTCACTAGATTACTGTCAGATAATCCCCCTTAAGTGTCCGTCCCCGCCTACTACAAGCTTTAAGGGGTAATTAACTTTCGTGTCCGCCCGGCTGACAGCTATTTAGCGTGAACCCCCAGGGAGTTAGGTAGATCCAATGTAGGTCGATCTAATCTATGAGAATGGGGTGAAAGCATCAAAATGCCCTTTACTGCCCCAGGGTCAAGTGTACAACATTGGCATTGTCATTTATAGGAACAAGTCCACCATACATATTTTGGTAACTTATATTCCTGTTAAACAGAAGCTACATGAAAATTTTTCTTTAATATTTTAAGAGCATCAAATACCCTTTGAAGCCATTGCTATTTGCCACTTTTTATAAGATCTTGTCATGCGCAAAATTCATTTTATAAAGGAGCATTATGTGTAAAAATAAGAATGTAGAGCACACCAAAATTTAATATCCGATTTCAGATAATTTCTGATATTTCTGTTTTAAGTAGATTTTTTCAGTTTTTCTGACTTTGTTGAGAAATTCATTATTTGGAGTAATAGTTTGTTGGTTTATATTATTAAAAGTATAGTGTAACTAAAATAAACGTGTTAAATTTTGTATGGTATTTGGACATTGCACTTTTAAATTGTTAACAAGTGATTGTGCGTTTGCAAGTCCCAAAGTAAATTTGTTGTTCACGGCTTCATTTCCAAACAAAGGCACTGGGCAAGCTATCAGTGTAGAGTTGCCCAGAGCAAATCTAAAGTTAAACTTAGAGAAACCACCAACGACAACTATAGCCACCACAACTGAGAAGGGTGAGTCTACAAGCAGTGAAACCTTGGGAGCTAATGGGTTTGCAATCGAGCCCCTGGTCGCTTTTCCAAAAATACCATAATGGATAGGTTTCAAATACCCAAAGCTTTTCAGTCCCGATGCATACCAGCTTGTTCATGTTCAAATTTCCACATGTTCGTGCTTATTGAGCACGTATGGAAATGAAGAGATCAAGAAGCTTACCGTCTCTACCAAATCTCGGTCTTAATTCAAATAGGGGAGCATTTAACCAGCTTGGTTTTACTAACTTCAAAGTAATATTTCAGATGTTATTTATTGACAGGTGGTTGATTGACAGTTTTTCAATTGACAGGTGACTAATTGATTGGCAGAATAGAGCACTAGAAAGCCCCAGCTTATTTACAGTTGCAGTTTTTCAAATGAAAAACATCAAATTTGTTATATGAGTTGCAACCACTGTTAGAGTACCCTTATGAATTGTTCTAATTCACTTAAAATGTTTAAGAGAATACTAACATGGAAACATTTTTTAAAAGATAACACCTAAGGTTTTGATACTGGTAATGTTATTTGATATGGGATTGGATTACTAATTAAGTGATTAATTTTTTTAATTTATTAATTTTTTTTTGTTTATTTATTTATTTTATATCTGTAAACCCTGGCCAGCCAACATTATGCAAAAGTATAATTTGGCTTTGTAATTATACACTCTAGTAAAACTACTAACATTGGTGGTAGTAAATGAAGAATTTTTTACTATAACTGTGGTACATGTGCGTTATATAGACGTATTGAAAAAATCACACGAACGTGCCATTTTTCAGTGTAATGTTTTGATTTACCTTTTATATCTCTCTGAAAGTGTTAGAACTTTCACTTTTAGTATGATTTACAAGAATTACACATAGATAATCATTTGTGTTATATTTTAGATGTATTTTCATCACTTTACCTCAGTTAGGCAATTTCACACTGAATTGACTAAATTTAATTTGCCCTGAAAATAGCCCATCTTCTAAATTTGTCAAATCTTTCAGGCCAAAAAGCTTGTGTACTTAAATTTGGATTAAATTGGTACAGGCTACTGAAATAAAGTAGCCATTGGTCAAAGACATAGTCAAAGCCACATCTTTTATTTATAATACAGGCATGATATTCCATTTATATGGATCATGACTTTTATTTTGTGTAAAATCAAGCATTAAATTTTATGGACTCAATGCAGATTTTGAGGTTTAGTATATCTAGCTGTGACAAGGATTCTTTATGAATCTTACCTTAAACTTTACTTAATGATTTTTAGGTGAAACGACATGAGGTTGAATGAGTGTAATGTTGCTTTCATTTTCTCATTGTCAGTGACCTTTGGATTTTGACCAGTCAGCCAAATTATGTTCTAATTTTCTTTAGTTATATATTGTTTATTTATTTTTATTTTTGTTTTCCTTTTTTCAGTTATTGATTCATGTCGAGAAAATAATGGCGGTTGTTCACAAAAGTGTAACAATTATGGTGGCCGAGCAGTCTGTCAGTGCTATACTGGCTATAAGATTGGGCTCGATGGGAAAACTTGTGAAGGTATTAGACCGCGTTCCCATAACCTTATTGTACCAGCAAGATTGATCTATCTCAGCAGGGATTCTTGCTAAGGCGCAGTTAATGTAATCAGCTTAATTTTCTGGCATGCCCCTTCCCAAAGCAACACGAACACAATCATAGGCAACAAAGTTTTTATCGACTTTACCCAAGCACTTTTAGTTGCAAGGGGGCATCCTAGACATTTAAGCTGTTTAAACTAAATGAAATTTAGCAAGAATCCCCTAGAAGTTGGATCGCTCCAGTTTGTACGATAGGGTTATGGGAATGGTCCCTTGCACACATTGAACAGGAAGTCCATCTGAGTATATTTAACTGATTGAAAATACTTGTAATATTAATTACTAAAGTTGGTAAGATATTCATTATATTTGACACTTACTTATTTGATTGATTTATTTAATTTATTAAATTTTTATCCATTGTGTTTTCTTTCTCCTTGCCATTCATTATGTTTTGATATTGTTTTAGTTTAGTATTTGTAGTGTTTAAAAGATCACTGTGGCATTTAATTACTTTTTGATAATATACAAGAATGAGCTATTCTATATTCTATATACATGTACATGTGAAAGGCTCATATTGTCAGAGTCCGGTCAATTCACATTTTTTGTCCAAATGTCAAAATATCGATATCAGCAATATTATGTATTGGTACTAAAACAAAAATTAATTATTATTTAGGAAAATTTGTAAGAAAATGTAAAGGTAGGTTACTTTGAGGTGTTACAACAATATTTGCCCAAACGTCAAAGTATCAGCAATGTAGTTAAATGTTTTCTTTTTCATAAAACCCTTCAGATATAGATGAGTGTTCCATTGGTAATGGCGGCTGTTCGCAGGGCTGCGCAAACACCAGAGGATCGTTTGCCTGCACATGCACACCTGGATACCAGCTGGGAACAGACGGAAGATCTTGTTATAGTGAGTGGATGTTTTTGATCATGATTTTTGATAAGCGTGGGTAGTGCTAGCATTTTTTTTTTTTCAAATTGCTTACTTACTCATCACTTTTTTTTCCAAATGGTTTAAATTTGACTAAAACATGTCAAACCAACCCTATTTTGTTTAGACAAGTTAAGTCACTTTACAATTTGCGAGTGTTAGCACCACCCCAGAATAAGTTACTGTTTTTGACATTTATTTAACTATCATCACCAACTGGTATAGATATTTTTTTTTTTACCATAAAGTTTTTTTTCTTCATAATTTGTTTAAATGCCTGTTCTTTAACATCTGTATTTATATGATTTACATTTTTATCTTATCATTATTTTTGTAATTATCATCTAGGAATCGAAATGGAAGTTATCGATAGCTGTGCCACTAATAACGGTGGCTGTGAACACAAGTGTAAACATGGTGTAGGGGGTGCCATATGTACATGTAACCCTGGTTACACACTGCAGGCTGATGGAAAATCTTGCGCAGGTACACTGCTAAACAAAGTCAACTTCTGATATTGTATTGTTTTCAGAATATTTCAGTTAACATTAACAGTTATAATTCATCTTTTATTTTTCTAATTGGATTTGATTTACATAATTTTTTTAATGGAGTGTGTAAGTCAATTTTCAAGTCAATGGATTTTATTTAAGATAACAGTGTCAAAGGCAATGTTGATTGAAATAGTTGTTAAGTGGGCAATTAATATTTAAAAGTTATCTTCATTTTATTACTTTTACTTGCTATCCATAATGAAAACTCTTTGATAGCCAGCATTTTCATCTATATTCATTGCAAAATTCAAAATAAAAGTTCTCTTCTTATCTAGATAAAAAACTGTATGGAGTATGAATTTTTCTATTTTATCTTCTCAGTAAACTTCTGTACTTCATTTCACCTTCTATGTTAATCAGCTACACTATAAATATTCCATCCCTGAAATCAGGTCTAAGAAAAAATTTATATTTTGCACTTCAACATAGAACATCTCTATTTTTGAAAACCGCTCTCGTGTGCTCTCTTCTTAAACAGTTTCTGATATTCTTTTTCACAGATAAAGATATTATATTGTATCTAATATATGTACATCACATAATAAACTAATGTATTATATAACATTTAGGATATTTAAGGACTCTCTAATAATGGGACATTTTTTACTAGGTTTACAAGTAATACTAATTATGTCAGGGGTAATAACATTGTGTGATTAATATATTTGGGATATAAAGGAGTAGTTAGAACAATTTACTTACACTTTTTCCCAAAAAGATAGGGTTTTACTAAATCTTTATAGATAGTTTGCAGTAAACTAATCATACCAAAGGTACCTTGGATTTATTACATTTACTAATGTTGGCTTTATTTAATGTATCTACCCTATAACAGACACTGATGAGTGCGAGCTGGGGACCTCGTGTTGTGAGCAGCTGTGCACGGACACAGTAGGGAGCTTTACTTGTGGGTGTCGTGTAGGATTTACACTTAACAACGACATGTGCAGTTGCCAGGGTAGGTGGTGCTATTTGTCAAGATGAACTTTTTTCCTTGATTTGGTCAACGAAATTAAATGCATGTCTGGTTTGGAATAAATGCACTGTAAATAAAGTATTTATAAGTTAGCCAGTTTATGGTCTTATTCACAATGCCAGAAACTGATGAAACTTAATTGCAAATTTGTAAAAATAATTGTGTGTATTAAGTTACAAAGAAGAATTTATACAAAATAAACCATTTTCTCAAACAAAATTATTAAAATCTGTCCAGTCTGTGTTTATACTGTTTGAAACATATTTTCAAATGACAAAAACCAGATATGTATAATGTTCTGGTAATTTAATGGTGTATAGATTATAAGATTTTTGTTTTTTTTTTTCTAATTATGCTAGAGTAATTTAATGTGGAAGGGTACTTAACAAAAGTTACATATACATGTATCTTGTACATGCCAGGGGCGGATCCAGAGATATTTTCTGACAGTCTTCCAAATTATTTTTGTTAATCCATCCTCCATTTTTGACCGTCTTCCGACAGAAAATATTAGAAACCCGTCAATGTAAACTTTAAAATCTGACCGTCTTCCGGAAGACCCAGAAGACGGCCTAAATCCGCCCCTGCATGCATTATATATTTAATGATTTTAAGGTGTGTGATACAAGCATGTTGATGGGCAACTTTAACTGCAGTGTAGATATGTGTTTACGTTGTTTGTTTATCATCTAGATGTTGATGAGTGTCTTAACAACAACGGTGGCTGCGAACAAGTCTGCGTGAACTCCGTGGGATCGTTTGAGTGTGTTTGCAATGTGGGATACAAGCTGACATATGATGGCAAGAGCTGTGAAGGTAGGTTGAGAACGATATGAGTTGAAGTATTGACATGGGGGTTTTATGTTTATAATAACAATAATAATATATAATAATAATAATAACAATAATAAATTTTAATTAAAGAGGGTAAAATATATGAAGAGTATTCACTTATCTTACACACGGCCCTCTGAGTTTACTTTACATTTAGTGTTTGTAAGTATTTGATAACTTAGCAGAGTTCAAACAAATATAAAGCAGTGTATGAAGTAACAGTTTTATGTGCAAGATTAACTTTAAAATGATATTTCCATATTTCAGTTGAGCAGTCAGAGGTTGGGCCTGTGAGAGGAGATCTTCCCAATGTTATAGTGCAGCCCACTGTACAGTTCCAGCCCACGCCTCCTCCTATTATCTCCATCACAGACCCTGAGTCATCATTGGAGCTTAATAATCAGCTCATTGATAATGAACGAGTTGGTAAGTTGTTTGAAGGGAATCTGATTATCATAATGTCTGACAATTTGATTAATTACATGTTATCTTTGTGTTTTTTAGTATAAATTACTTTTGTTTTCAGGGGTATTTTTATTGATAAATATATGTTAAACAATAAGTCTGATCATTTTGGGATACTGTAATTTTGGAAACCATGGATTTTTATTTAATTAAGAATGTTATTTATTTATTTAAAATTAAAGGAAGAGTGGTCTGAAAGCTGTTCTTCTAATTGAACAAATTGATGAGGGATAATTAAATTAATTAGCTTTGTGTTTGATACTGATAAAAAAACTGTACATCGTTCTTCAAAATAAGAATATATGTATTTAAGTAAAAATCAAATCTATGTGAAATGCTCATGAAGCATATTAAAACATATTTCAGAAAAACATTACAGAAGACAGAAAAGATATTGTTAATGTATTGTGTTATTTGATTGTTGTCTTGGAAAATGTTCAACATGATTCATTCACAAAATGTGACTTCCTTGGTGTTTTTGCTGTACCAAATCGCATTTATCTTTGTCTGTCAAGGCAAAAGCAATAAGACTGGCAAGGGTAACAGAACTAAGAGAAAACATGTCAAAGGTAGCCTAAATGTTAACTTCATGATTTCACTGGCTTGCCTTGAAGTTCTGTTGGGCTATACAATGTTCATTGTTGTATTGTACCAGATGTTTAGTGTACACAGTGTTTTAGTATTGTGAGCCATGTATGCTATAGTTTTTGTGGCTCTAAGTTTTACTCTTTTTTGTCTAATTTTTGGAACCATATGATTTTTATTTAGATTTATTTACCCTTTATTATATTATACTTGTAGTTATTTAATTAAATTAACATTTGACATATGTACCGCAGTTTCACAGTATTTCCTTTTTATTTGAATTAAACTATGCATGCTTATAAGTATATATTTTTATTTAATGTCATGTGTACATGAAAGATATTTTTAAAATACCTAAATAGGCATATGATGAAGATTAAAGATAACATTTACTCTGATTACATAATTGAATCCATTTATGTAAACAAATGTAAAATTTATGCATAAAATAAAATCATAAAAATCATAAACACAGCATAAAAGCACATTTCATAATGTTTCAGTTATGCCTTATCAGAAAAATTTAATATTTTGCTCTGTTTATTAGATTTTATTTTGTTGAATGTACCAGAAATCATATTTTAAAAAATCATTTCAGTGTGCCGCGATGCAGGTAACTTCGGACCTAAATGTGAGTTTACCTGTGACTCCTGTCAAAATGGCGGCATGTGTAACGAGGAACAGAATGGCTGCGAGTGTGAAGCAGGCTGGCAAGGAATTATATGTAACGAAACGTGTCCAGAAGTAAGTATATATACAGACATTGATCAGTGTACACTTGTTTTTAATAAGTTGTTAATTTGTTGTGTCTGATGAGCATTGAAATAGAAATTAAGGTTATAATGAGATAAAGTGCAATTTTGTTTCAACATGAAAATAGGAAGAAATTATGTAGGCGCATAAAATGAATCTTTGAAGGCACTTGTGCTTCAGTAGGTAAAATATTTAATTATGTTTTGAGAGAAAGTCCAA